AAACAATTAAAGAGATACAGAAAAATTTTGTTATAAAATCTTTTTATTAAACATATTTTTATGGAAAAACAAATAATTAAGTAATTATTGATGCATAACAATTAAAAAATTGTTTAATCAAACAAGAATTGTAATCGTCTTGTTTGCTGTCCAAATCTGTTTATAACTTTTTCAATTAATTCTGAGTCATCTTTGATTCTTTTCTTATGCACACTGAGCATGCACAAACTTGGCAGATATCTAAGCTATATTTTTAAATTTCATTCAATAAACTATAAATAATATATTTTCTATTAGCTATTTAGTTTAACAAAGGTGTATAACACAAACTGACTTCTCACAACTGTAAAACTTCAATAACACAATAAATACCAATGCTAAGCGTGCACAAACAAGTTAGTATACGAAACTACTGTTTGTAGTTATTTGTGTTTCAAAGTCAGTAGCCATGCCAGCTCCATCAGTACAGTTTCTAGTGGCAAAATTTGCAAGCACAAGAAATTCATATTTTTTTTTAAATATCTTGTTAACAATGAAGAAATGTATCTTGAGAAAAATTAACCGATGAAAATATATGTAATAACAAAATATTCTAAATTTTTTTCTGGAGGAGGGAGGGTAGTTTGTTAGAGGGTTGCGCTTCGTTTTATATTATTCTGCCAGCACCCTTGCATGTAACCATTTTCCAAGAAAATAAAAAACACCAGGCTAGCTCTGAAATTATTTATTTATATTCAATGGCAGAGATATTTACAGACAAATTACAAAACAAATTAATGCCGAAACTCTTGTAACACTAAAACGGAGATATTGTTTTGGAGATGTTCTCCCTTCAGTTGCTGTGGTTCAACTCATTCGTTGGTGTGGTGAAAATTCTTAAATAGTTCTCTTATATACATATTTAGATTTCTTTCGAACTGTGAGGATCGAACTCACTATCTCTGTCTCCTTAGGGACAGTGACTATCACCATTCAGCTACCCAAGCATATGTCAATATGTTATGCTTGTTTAAAAAATGCAAATAATTGTTTAAGTCAAAATGGTAAAAGAAAAAAAAATTATTCCTAATTATTTCTGTCATTGTTTATAATTGGAAGAACTTTAAAAAATTTTTTTAACAACATGTGCATATTTTTACAATAATTTCGCAAAAATTTAAAGCACAGTTTTATGCATCTTAGATAATAAAATATTTCGTCTAATTATATTATTGATTTTCTTAAGACTACTAATTTTAACTTGCTCTGATTTCCTTAAAGAGTCAAACCTTGGTCCATTGCTACTGCATCTTTTGTTTTTCCACATATATTATTTTGTTTCTCAAGTTATCTGAAATTTAAGGCTGTTTAAAATTGATTTTATGAATCAATGTTAAGAATATAGCCATATAAAATTTGTAGTCAACTAGTTAAGTACCGTATATTCCGGCGCATAACGCGCCCCGGCGTATAACGTGCACCCGTAATTTCTAATAACTTTTTTTAAATTTTAAGATATACTCTTCGTATAACACCCACGAAAATTTGGATTGTACCTGTGCAATATCTCGTCTAGTACCTATAGAAAACCGGAAAGCCTTTTAGTGTGGGACATGTTTAGGTCCCACCTTACAGATAATACAGAAAAAATTGTTGAAAGAATGTAACACCGATATAGCAGTTATTCCGGGCGGATTGACACCATTAGTTCAGCCATTGGACGTCTGCTTAAACAAACCATAAGGCAATTTAAAAAAAACTGTGGAACACTTGGATGTTGGAGGGCGATAAAACCTTTACGAAAGGAGGACATATGCGTCATACAAGTTTGGAAACAGTGTCCGAATGGATATTAAAAGCATGGGATGAAATTAAGCCTGAGATGGTTAGAAAATCATTCAAAAAATGCAGCATTTCAAATAATCTGGACGGATCAGAAGATGACTTTATTTATGGATGAGGGTAACACAGATGATGAAGACGAAACAGATTGTGATGACGTGCCTGAAGAAATAACGGAAGGCGAATATAATGAACTATATTTATGTAATAACGAAAATCAATAAAGTATATAGATAAAGGTATGTTATTCCTTTAAAATAAAAGTATTTTTCTATATTAAATTTTTTTTAATCTATAATTTTTTATATTCGGCGTATACAGCGCACCCGCAAATTCCAATGTTATTTTTGGTATTAAAAGTGTGCGTTATACGCCGGAATATACGGTAGCTACTTTCTATTTTATTTATTATATTATATCTATTAGCTGTTAAGTATTTTGTTTCTGTTAACATGCACTAAACAAGTAAGTATAAAAATGCCTGTAAAATATTTCCATATTTGTCTATAGTTACCAAATCCTCTGAATTTTTAACTTAATTACTGAAATTTGTCTTGGGGATATTTTAATCAGTTATCTTTGCATTACATTAAAAAAAATTTGCATTTTTTTGTTTTTGTATGATAGAAATCAGTGCCACTCCACAGGGAGAGCAGGGAAAACTTGGAAAATACAGGGAATTTAAAAATTACCTAAAATATCAAGGAAATTTTAGTTTTTCTTTACGCACTGGGAAAATGCAAGGAATTTTGTTTCTTATATTTGTCTTTTAAAAAATGGTGACCACTCAAAACCTAATCTATGGGATATTTAAGGATGGTACTATTTCATTTACTATAGCATTCAGCTGTTTTTGCAGCAATTAAAACTTATAAATAGAGTTAGCCTAATATAGCTCACACAAGAACACAGTAATTGTTGTTTTCTCTTAATATATTGTGTATAATATATACAGGGAAAACACCGGGCAGTAAATTTTTTAAAAAAATTTATGAGAGTGATTAAAAAAAACTGTATGATTTAAGTTGTTTGCTGTACATTATTTTGTTATTTTACATCTAGTCTCATTCACAATATTGTTACTCATGTCATGAAACTCGCCCAGTCCAAGTCATCGCTCAGCCTTTCTCCGGCGCTGGTGGAAACGTATAGTCGCCTTTTGGTCTACAGTGAAATCGAATCTCTGGGTATTAAAGGTTTCATTAGTAAGGTCAAATTTTATAGCTCAGTGTGTGTGAATTGAATCTCTTAAGACAAGTTCTGCCTTTAAAAAAATGTGTGTCTTTACAGCACACCTGTTGCCGATCGTGTTTCGCAGCCACGCTTGGGGTATTCTGCACACATTGCTAGAGATGTTCAGCTACAGGTTGCATCATTTTCAACCTCACTACAGGGTCCAGCTTCTCAATCATCTTCACAGCCTGGCAGCCGTGCCTCAAACAAATCAGACACAACTTCACTTGTGGTAAGTATTACAGGTTAAAGAAGGTTGTGTACCATTCTTTAAAAGTGCTTTTTTTCAATGGGTGTTTTTACAAAGTGCTTAATTTTCCCTCTTCCAAAATGAGATATTTTTTCTTTACCATGTTGATTTTTGCCGCGAACTATGCAAAAAGACATTGTCCTATTCAAGGTTTTCACAATTAATTAAACCCCAATCTATTTCGGTGTACCCTCGGTCCGTAGTGTATGAAAACATCGTTCGTTTTGCATGTTTGATGAAGTTCTTGTGGATCTGCAGTTGCATATACTGAGCTGGATTCAGTGGGACGGATTTTTGTCTCTTATGTGCAACTCTGCTGCATTTTGTAAGAGATTCTCAATTTCAGACTTCATATTCCACCACCGAATATTCCACCTTCATATTCCACTAAACAATTGTAATTTTTTTAAACTGTCAAATTTTTTTCTCTGATAGCGATAGAAAATTTTTTTCTCTTGTTAATTTCATCGTTGGTGACTCGTCATCATCACTGGCAAACAAATAAGAACTTGCCAACTCTGTCTAATTATAATGTTTTTTTTAAGTCCTTGAAAATATATTTTGAGTGCTAGAAAAGGTGCTTATTGAAAAATTTGGCTGTGTTATTTTCATCCCCAATTATTTCATAATTCAAGGAGAGAAAGTTTCAAAATTTGTTGTGAGGTTCGTCAACAGATGGTGCTACTCACTGAGGAAAACTATGAAACAAAGTTTTCCTGATCTTTTGCAGTAACAATCTGGTGAAACAATAAGCTTGTGACATGTATTGATTACTTTGGTTGTTGTATGCAAAAATTGCAATCAAGTAAAATAGCATAATAATACATATTTATCTTCTTATTTACTAAGTAAACTAAAAGATAAACAAATAAATTTTGAAAATTAAATATGATCTAATATTTTAATGAATTATTTAGAAGGTACATCATTTTGATTTTAAAAAAAAAGTCAGATATTTTCACTTGTTTCGAAGTCTTCTATTTTAACGAATGCAACGAATTTTCCATCATCTCAGTTGCTATCTATCTCTTTTTCTTGACCTTCATATCCCTGAAATGAAAAAAAAAACTTTGAGTTTCTGTAACATAACCACAGCTTCATAATGGGATTAAGAAAATCATACAGATTTCGCTACATCTTCGTAACTGCTTTCACCGGAAGATTCCATAATATTCGCAATTGAAACGGCCTGTGTCTTGCAAATTAAAACATCATTAGAATATTGCGAATATTCTAATAACTCTTCATTATCTGGCTCTACCTCATTCTCCAAAATAACATCAGCGTCAAGCAGCATTTCAAGGGACTGCACTATCGAAAACCCACCTTTTCTAATACTATGTACAATGCAGTTTCTCTTAACTTCAAAACTTTCAATCTGATATTTTTATAGATACTTAATTTTCGTTCAACTTAATCTGTTGGACCTTACTTTAGTGTATGGAGAAATGTAGCTTTAAAAATACCAATTGCATGTTTTATTTTGCATTTAGTAACAACTGTGAAAAATTGTCTCTGACACTACCGAAAGAATGTAAATAATAGTATGTTTTGTGTGTGATAGGTATTAAAATGTTTTGTGTTTCAGCGTGGAGAGTACTGCTTTGAAACTTATTGCTGGTATGGGTAGTGCTGAAGTTCAGCCTCAGCTCTCTCGTCTCCCCTCTGAACCAAAATCTCTTCTCTCCAATGAATCTGAGGAGCTGAACAAAGTGTTGGTGCTCACATTAGCCAGAGCAATACACGTCACTGGTAAATTCTATTATATTCTGTTGTGATGTTATTTTTCCTTTCTCTAGTCCCCAAATCATGCGCCTAGTTGTATTATTTACTAAACTGCCTTCAAAACTTGCTGTAACTTCAGAACAACAAGCTTTAACATCAGCTAAATTTTTGGAAGAAGGCCAGTGGGTAGCTGTACTGTTTGATAGCCATACGATTTGGTGGCCTGCTCAAGGTCATGTCCGCGACATACACATTATTTTTAACTTGGTAATTTTTAATTAAATTAATTTTATTTCTTCAAAAGTCTTGTGATTTATTTTATACAAATACATGCTGCAATGTTATCTAATTTTTTATTTATTTCATGAAATTCAGAGATTTTGGTGAATGTAGAAAAACTTTCTAAAAACCATATTTTTTAGCGTCTTGTCCGAACACTTAAAATTTTTATTTTAAAAGTTAAAAAACTTTTAAATACGCATAAAACAAAAGAAAACACGTCTTCTGATTTTATAATACAAACAAAAGTCACCTTTCTCAATATTTTATTTAATTATGATTAATTAAACTTTGTAAATGCCATGTCCGCAACATGCACAATACTGTGAAATCGCTCTAAAGTAGAATCCTTTGCAAAGTGGTGCATGCTAATGTTATTGAATGTGACACATATGATGTTCAGGAATAATTTAACTTCGTAGCTTTATGGTAGGCTGTAAAAGTTTCCATTGTGTTATACTTTTTATAAATTTTCTAGAATAAATTATCTTGACTTTCTTTGATTCTTAATTTTTTTTCTGGAGGTAATTTAAAGAACTGTTTACAAAAGAGAACCATTATATGTAGAGATAACATGAGAGAAAATGCAATATGAACTATAGATTACTTGTTAAAAATAGTTTTAGAAAAGCCTTGGGTTTTTATATGGATCTCATTGTTTATAATCCATCTGTATTTACAAAGGTTTGACTTTATTACAAATAAAAAGTCAATCCCCTTCATTAATAGTTCGGAAAAATCAGATGGTTTAAAAAGTTTACTTATGCACTGACCTTTATAATAATCTGTTTTTGTAGGTTCTGAGTCCTTGTCTGGTACATGGTGTAAGGAAATTCTTACAACAATTATGCAACACACTCCCCATAGCTGGTCAAGTTTCACCCTCAAGTGCTTCCCCAAAGTTCTTGCTGATTTTTTTGCCTTGCATCAGACGACAAAAGAAAACAAAGCTCAGCTCAAACGTTCAGTGGAAGAGGAATATCGGAAATGGAAAAGTATGAACCTTTCGTTCTATTCAGTTCATTGTTAATAATTTTCATTCATTGATCAATATCAGGCATTTAGTTTTGCAATCTTGTCAATGCATTTTATATGCAATAATTTTACAGCAATAAAGGCATTTGAATAAAAATAAATGTCTTTTTGTTTATTTCAAGATGTTTTTAAATACAGTTAAACCTCTTTGTCTCGAAAACCACTATATGTCAAAATTTCTAAAATTCTTTACATTTCCTATTTAAAATCAATCTATTTTCCATGTCAATCTCAATTTTTTTTTAAAAAAACCTCTGTTTCTCGAATTTCTAATAATCGAGCACAAATGCCCAAACAACATAACAAACAAAGAAGGTAAATGTCAGAAATCTTCAAAAAGATTATTTTCAGTGTTAAAGGTATGCTAAAATTTTTATTATGAAATAGATATATGTGGTATAATTAATTTACAGAAATGCCTGTATTTTTTTACTGAAGACAATTAAAGCACTTTTAATTAAATTTCTTAATTAAATTAAATTTTTTAAAGTACCTGTGTAACTCAAAACCTCTTTATCTCAAATTTTTTGCCTTTCAAGATAAACAGGTCCGACTGTACAAAAAATGTTTTTTTTTTTCATAGCTGCCAACTCTACTGGATTTAGCCAGTTTTTACTGGTCTACTGGTTTAATAAAAATTCTCCTGGTTTTTGTACATTTTAGAAAATTCCCTAAAATTGAGAAAGTTCCCTTAAATTCCTATTGAAATTGAATTTTTGTGCAGATTATTGCTTGCTTTAACAATTAAATAAGTTTTACTAATACATAAAGAAACGAGCCTTATTTATAAAAATCAGTTAACTATCTTTGATGAATTAAATACCTATAATTATTTAAAAGTATGAGTAAGCATAATACATAACATTTCAAGTTCATTTAATGTTAATCATTATCGGAAAGTATTTCAGTTTTTTTTTTATTTTGTTGATTAAAAATCCATAAAATTCCCTATATGTAAAATATTTAAAAAACTTGTCTTGAATCTTGTGGCATTTATAAAAGCCTATCCAGAAAGGAAAAAAAAAAAAAACTTTTTACGAACCAGTGATCAGAACAATCGAATTCAATTTGACAGCTGAAACAGCCGCAAACATGTCAAGCTGAATAAATACTAACTTTCATTAAAACAGAAACAAAGAATCCATTAAAAAAAAAACAGGCACATTGTACTCTAACGAACAGAGAAGCAGAACGACAAAAAAAGGTAAAAATACAGTCTAACCATCTTCAACTCGAGCTTAAGTACTTTTGTACTATGGATAAGGAATGACTTCATGAGTCATGCGTCATCAACCAACTTCAAATGAAAAAAGACCGACCAAACACATGCTCTGCTTCTTGTAAAACAAAACACGTGCATAACTTATATACAAATGAAACTACTTTTCAATGATAAGTACTTATATTTTTGGTGGTATAATTATCTTGAATCTTATCTTTGAATTTTTCAGCAATGAGCAATGAAAATGACATCATTTCACACTTTTCCCTCCAAGGCTCTTCGCCATTGTTCTTGTGGTAAGTGTGCCCATCTTTTTTTTTATTTTGTATGACACAAATTGTTATTAGGTTCCAATATGAATTAATTTTCTTGATTATATGCTCACAATCATACCTCTTACGTAAATGAAATTGGCAGGCTTGGTGGCAAAAAAAATCAGTCTGGGGGCTGCACAAAGTTGGGCGGTCTTACACTACTGAGTGTCTTCAGTTGGCATTGCACACTGCAATAGGAATGAGGTCCTTCAGGCCTAAGTGAGCATGCCTGCCAAGAGTCCTGTTTTTCTTTGAGGAATACTCCTGTGTTTTACGACTATCTCTTGTTTACGTGTTTATATTCAAATTTCTCCATATTTGTTAAAGAATTTTTGTAAAGAAAATTTTTTTTGGCAATAAAATATCCGTTAATGGCAAAAATACTTCTCTTCTTCCTCTACATGATGATGCTATTGCCAGTACTGTAGTATGTTAAATGTTTATAGTTAAGTACCCCTTAACCGTGTGTCGTTTTTATGGTTTTCCTCTTCATGTAACTCAAATGAGGGTTGGTTCCATCAAAATGTCCTCCGCGAAGACAAATTTCTCCCAATAATTGATTAATCCAGGAGTTCCCTTGTCTTTAGATTAGGTTCAAAATTACAAGGCTACGGAGTTGAACACTAGTAGCCCTAAACCCAAAATTAGGTCGGCTGTTTAACAACGGTTATAAAAAAAACTTTAGTAATTATACATAATGGTTTAAAAAATCTTCTTTAGAGTAAGATTTATATACATATTTTTTGTTAAATGTGAATGCTTAAATTATCTATAATTTTGAATATCTCTTTTTGACTTACATGATTATGCATAATGTATCAAAACTTTACTCATAGCCTAAAAAACGTCGCTAGTAAAAATCTCTGTCATTTTATTCCTCCAATGTTGACCAGGTATGCAGATAAAATTATGGAAGGTATATACGACATGTTAACTCGATTCTATCTTGAGATATTTTTTGAAGGTTGACATAGTCTATAATTATATCTCCTTAATATTTCTGTGAATACAATACAGTGTAGTTCATCAATATTCACATATTTTATGTTTGTTATTATTAATTTTTGAAATTTCCATAGTTTCAGAAAATGTTTACTCTAGTGATTACAAATGTAATGTATTAATATTTTAATAAATTAGAATTTTAAAAAATGTTGGTAAAAGTTTTATAACAATTACATTTATTTTAAAATTTTTGGTTTTATTTCGCTACTACTGCTCACTATATTTTCTACTAATAATATCTTTATAATATGCGCAAATTATGCAAACATTTAAATAAATAAATAAGCAAAATGGCTTTTCTAAAGTTTTGAAACATTAGTTAATGCATTTCCTAAAAATTAACTTTTTGAGTAATAATAATGAAAACGATTTTTATAGAAAAGCAATTTCAACCCTTAAATGCTTGCTTAAAGTTTTATTTCTAACGAATAATATTTGAAATCAACTTAAATGTAGTTAATGCAAGAAAATAAGACATAAAAGTTTATAACATTTTGTGAAATCAAATAAAAAATAATATAAATATGATTCATTACGAAAGAAAATTGTGATAGCTGCAAGGTGATCACACGTTACCCATTGGCGAAATAGTTGTCTAATTTTTTTTGGAAAAGAAAAATTTGTGTTTTCATCTTGAACATCTTTAACTGCTAATCCTGAACTGCTCGATACACAATTTCGCAGACATATTTGAATGCAACTCGGACACATTCTGTGTAAAATCTTTTGATGACTGAATAGACATTGAACAACCAACGGAGAGCAATATTAACATTTTCGGATCGATACAATGGTGTTTGATGGAGATTATAAGCTGCATCATATACCCGTTTCGGATTCACAAGTTCATATATGATATATAATTTGAAGGTTTGGCTTTTTTTCAATTTTACATGAATAGTGAATGAATCATTTATATTGCGTGGAACACAGTCTATGGTCTTGTGCAAGTTATTGGGTACGTTGACAATGGATCCTTTTATCCCGAACTAGTGATCAACGTCCAGTTCTCGTATTTGCAAGAAAGAAGCTCGGAGGCTCGGATTCATGCTTGCGTTTGTAAACGTTCTTTGGCTTTTTAAGCCTCTGTAAAAGGAATAAGATTTTTTTGTATTTAAAAAAAGATACTGATGTATTTCTACATCATCATGAAAAGTCAATATTTATTGCAATATTTCAAACATCAATTTTTGTACAAATAACCATAATTGGTAACACCTACCAAAACGAAATTGTACTCAGTGAGTCTTGAATAAAAATTGTTGCAGATANACCTTACTTTGTTTTTTCGTTCAGAATTCGGTAATTATTCAATTTAACTTAATTATTTATGTGAAATAATATCTAATGATAAAAAATAGGGTTGTTTTAAAAGCGTTTTTTTAAGAATTTATTTAGCACTTTGTTTTAAGCCTGCAAATAATTTTTAACGAACTTATTTTTTAAATTTTCTTTCTATATTGTTAGGTAAATATTATATTGATAAATTTCTAATTTATTATTTTTTTTATTATTTATTTTTAAGCTAAGAAATCTTTTGGTATTTGCGTGATCATTTTTAAAAAATATAACATTAATATCTTTCTTTAGCAAAACATATATATCTTCAAATTCATAAATTGATTTAATCTGAGTATGAAGTTTTCTTAGAAATCCTACTTTCTGTGCCTTACAAGTAAATGAAATTCAAAAATACTATATCGCGATGCAAAACTGACGATGCATCACGATATAAAATTTCTTATACCGCCCAGTCCTAGCCCTAAATCATGCTAATTGGATTTGTTATGCATTTCTTATTTCTAATAAATTTTATGAGTGGTTATTATTCATTTATAATTTGAAATGAGGGGAATTTTTTTTTTTTGCAGAATTCTGGATCGAATAGGTGCTAGAGCCCTATCTGCTCATTTGAGAACTTTTGCCGATTTCTTAGTCTTTGAGTTTGCAAATTCTGTTGGTGGAAATCTTGTGAATAAGGTAGCTCTTTATTTTCATTGTTGCTTACAATAATTTTCAATAGCTATTGAAGGTATGCAGTAGCTTTATTAAAAGTTTATTGAAGGTATGCAGTAGCATATTGAAAGTTTTTTTTATATTTTAGAAATATATAGTACATTTAATTTTACAGAAAATTTAATTTTAATCTTTTAAATAATATGTAATGATTTATTTATTCGAAATTATTTAAATCCTGATTAAAATTTTAATTATTTTCTTACTATTCAATAGAGTATGTTTTGTAAGACATTTTTTATATGCACATTTAATTTGACAGCAATAGTGTTAAATTAATTTAAATTCAATAAAATAAAATGTTAATTACTTGTTACGATAATTTTTAATAGCAATTGAAGGTATGCAGTAGCTTTTTCAGAAATTATCACTTATCACATAAAAATTTCAAAATTGTAATAATGTAAAGATTGTAATAATTGTAAAATGTAAAATTTAATATAATTGTAAATATAATTAATATAATTGTACAAATAAATAATTGTAAAGTGTAAAGATTGTAATAATTTTTTAATGTTGAAAGTTTTTTATTTATTAGAAATATTATGGTGTGTTTCATTTTACAGTAAATTTAATTTTAATCTTTTAAATAATATGTGAATGATTTACTTATTAGAAATTTTTGAATCACAATTGAAATTTTAATTATTTTCTCAATATTCAATAGAAAATGTTCTTTTGCGAGACATTTTTGATCTGCATATTTAACTTGACAGCTATAGTGTTAAATTAATTTAAATTCAAAAAAATAAAATGTTAATTACCTGTTACTTTATTTATAGTGTTGTTATAATGTGTGTGTAAAATTTAGGATAGTTAAAATGTGAAATCAAGTTCAATAAAACACCTCCATAAGAATTTTTTTTTCCGAATTCAAACTGAATAACTCAATAACTGAAGGAAACAAATAAAACTGTCTTAAGCAATTATTGAATCTCTAAGATTAATGCCCCTTAATTACCCTTTTCAGTGTTCTAATTTATTGATGTTTACAGAATCATGATTATGATTCATTCATGGTATTAAAGCTCAAATACTAATATATCTTGATTACTCCTTAAATTTGTTAACTGTACTAGTTTATTTATAATAAATTAAAATGGACTTATTAAACTTCAGAATTTGTGATCTGTACAAATATTGTAATGGTTTGTTAATTGCTTGTGGTATAAAAAGTATCTGATTCATTTCTGATTTTTTTTTTAGTACATTGATGCCTTGAATGACCTAATTTGGAAATGCCATGTTATTCAGTTAGACAGGCTGATTTTGTGCTTGGTAATTATTTTAATTTTTTTCCTGTAACTCTCCTAAGCAAACTATCAGCTGTCTGGCTTTGAAGCTTGTTTTCTATGTTTGAAGCCCCCATTCTATGTTTTTTTTTCTTTCTTTCTTTTTTGCTGAACACACAGATAAATTTAAACATATGCTGGGCAAAAACCAAATATCACATTGTTATTTATTATTGCATATATTATGTGTTGATGAGAAAAAAAGTCATTAGATATTAATAATTCATTAGAAAAGCTTCATTAGATAATGAGAAGAAAAATTCATTAGATTCTGTCTTTAAATTTTATAATTCTTACTTTTGTGCATGAAAATGATAGTCTTTTATTTATCGTATCTTCTATGCACAAAAAGAAAAAAAAATAATTACTTAAAAAACTCTGCATTATTAAAAAAAATTCATATAATTTGTTCTTCCTCAATCATATGTCTGTTAATATTTTACAAGTATGCATAATTTTCCAAAAATTGTGCACTATGTAGCACTTGTCTGTACTTTTTCATGATATCATTGACTCCTGTTTTTGCATCTCTGTTTAGCACTATATAGACAAACCAATTGGGTTGGTAAATGGAGCAACAGATATATTATTTTGAACCAATGGACAAAATTTGTATATCAATATATTTTATTTTATAACCATCCTTGAACAGCCGACCCAATTTCAGGGTTTACGGCTAGTAATGTTCAACTCAGTAGTCTTGTAATTTTGAACCCAGTCCAGAAGACAAGGGAACTTCTAGATCAAGTATTGGGAGAAATTTGCTTTTTTTGGAGGACTTTTTAATGCAACTAACCCCAATTCACATTATATGAAGAGGAAGACCTCGAGAACCTCCCACGGTTAGCCTAACGGCAAAGGGACTCTAACCCATGATCTGTCTACCTCTGAGGGCATTTCACGTCAGCACTGTGGTCGTTACGAGCCATCCCTGGGGATTCAAACCCGATTCACCTCATTGGAAGGCGAACATTCTATCCCCTGAGTCATCGCGACTCTGTTTATCAATATAGGGAGAAATAATTTTGAAAAACTATTATTCTGTATTTTATAGCCCATTTAAAAAACAAAATAAAATAAACTTGGTTGTAAAATATAAGGCACTCTCACAACATATAGTTTTTGTGACTGAGAAGATATTCTACTTTTAATCTGTCAGTATTGCCTTACATTAGCTCTTTTATTAAAATGTGTCCTATTTTTAACTCTCTAAACTATTTCATGCTAATATTTACATAGTTCCCAACTCTACTGGGTTTTTCGGTAGACTATTGGTTTAATGAAAAATTTCCTAGTTTAAGTACAATTTTAGAAAATTCCCTAAAATTGAGTAAGTTTCTTAAAAAAATCCCTATTGAAATAGAATTTTTGCACTGATTTGCTTTCTTGAATATTTAAATATATATTACTGACGCATAATGAGGCAAGCATCATTTATAGAAATCAGTTTAAAACTTTTTTTTTGTTCTAAACTGTTCAGAACTTCCTTTTTAAATTAATTGAAAAGTCTTTCAACTAATTTTGATGAATTAAATGCCTATTACTATTAAAAACTATGAGTGTACATAATACATAGCATTTCAAGTTTATTTAATGTCCATCATAACTGGAAAATATTGCAGTTTTTCTATTTTGATGACTATAAAAATCCCTGAAATTCCCTATGTGTAATATATTTAGTACATTATGCAACAATTATCACGGAATTTATATTATTTTGCAAAATCTACTGGATTTTTTTCCTATCCATGTTAGCAGCCATGTATTTAATAATCATCACATGTTGTAATCAAAACTTTTTTTAAATTTTTGACTTAAATTAATGTTTCAAATTCAAAAATACAATTCATGATCACAAAAGAACCACCATGATATTATTTTCAAGGTATTGGAAACTTTTCAAAAATAGTTTTGTGAAAAGTTAATTTTTACTTTTTCACTTATAATTCTTTCTTGTAGTTATCAATGTTATGCATCTCCTTACTTTACCACTGTTCAAAATAAAATAGGAAGAAGGCTTCATTGTTTATCCCTTTATCAAATTGTAATTCATAAAATTTTTTACAAACCCTTCATGTTTTATCCCTATACATCTCTGACAGATAAGTTCATTCTGTTGAACTTAAATGAGAACAATAACTGAGACTTCATAACTAAATGCCCCCACAGTCCTGCCAAAAAAAAGAGGAAGAAAACTGCAAAAGTTGATTTAAAGAAAGAAATGAGAATTTGCTAAATTTTATCTAAATTGACAATGATACATTTTTCTCTGCAACACAACTTGATAAAATTTGCTTTGAATTAAGTTTGCTGATTGAAGAATGTGTAGTACATCTACCACTAAAAAAATACAATTCCAATTCACTCGTGTATAAGACATGATAACTCGATTCTATGTTGGGGTCCCTTTTCATGGATGAAGGTTGATATTTTCGATAACTACTATCTCGACATTGGTGACCTGGACGTGACGTGAACACGCCGACCTTGACAGAAACTCCGACCTAAATCTGAGCACGGCTACTTCAATGGATGGTTCCCATTGATGGACTGCGACATAATCCACCTTCTCGCTCTGTTGCTACTCAGTCTCGATCACACACAACGTCGACCTGCATACACTCGACTGCTTATGTCAACATAGGAGAGACCACGGCCGTGAACTTAATACAGCTCTCACGTTCAGCATTTAAGAGTACAGTGATCTTAATACAGCTCTCCCGGCTTCTCACAAAGGAGCCATGAATCAACTAGTGCTATCCGTTCATCGAATTCTATCACAGATATAATCCTGGTGGAGGAGTACTGTAGGTCACATCTACCACTACAAAAATACAATTCTAATTCACTAGTATATAAGACATGTAGGGTACCTTCTATGTCGGGGTACCTTTTCATAGATGAAGGATGACACAGTCGATAACTACTATCACCACAAATGCATTAAAAAGTTTTGCAGAAGCATAGGGTATTAGTTTTTTTTAAAATTTCCAACATTTCGTAAATTCAGGCATTGTTGGCCACTCTTTCCGAGGCACCCTAATAGGTGGGCCAATGTTGCCCCCACAGTAAGGACAGATAGTACAAAAAATGACAGACCCACCCATCAGGGTGCGTAGTGCTTTTAAAAAGGTGCTTATTTTTTATTTACATTTCTTAAAAGCTTTTAAAGGTGCTTTTTTTATTCAGGGGTTTGTAAAAAGTTTTTAGTTTTATACCTTTTAAAAAGAGATTTTTTTTGGTGTCAATTGTCATTCTGAATAACAAAAAATGCAAGATTTTCGCAATTTTCTTTCCACTATTTATCAGAAACTAGTTATTTTTATCATGATTGTGTAAAATTTTTGAAAATGTTTTTGAATTTTATTGATTTTATCTTTATAAATTAAGAACTTTAAATGATAGAAAAAAAATAATTTTTATTGCTGCACAGATCCTAATTATGATTTTTTTAAAAAAGTGATTAGAAATATATTTTGAGTGATTAAAAAGTTCTTTAAACGTGCTTATTTTTTGCTGAAAAATCTGTCTATGCACCCGGTCTATGCCTTGCCCAGGATTTGAACTCAGAACTTTTCCGTTGCTAGTCCAAAATCCACACATAGGGTATTACTCATATGCAATTTTTTTCTAAATAGGCAAAAAAACAAGTCACCAAAATATGCTTAATATTTAATTCTCTACTATCAATTATCATATTACATCAGAACAGCTGAACAAGCACCTAAAGTCTTAGCTTGTTTTATTTTGCAGATAAGTCACAGAAAGAATTATATTGATGGTTTGCTATCCTCTTTGGTATTCAAATGTTCCTTTTTCTATTTCAGGCCCTCCGAAGCTTTGAAGGGAATGAAGCTCAAGTATGCTTCTTCATCATTCACCTGCTGTTGCTTCGACCCACTGATTTCAAAAACAGGGTTTACGATTTTGTCAAAGATGTAAGCTTTCACTCTATCTTCTATTTTGTCCCGATCGTAAAGACACGGTTCCCGACAAATCACTGAAGTCAAGCATCACTGGCTGCAGTCAGTGTGCGGATGGGTGACCACTGTGATAAGTCTGTGTAGGGACCAAGAGTGTGCGGTATGGGTCCTCGTTAAACTGTTCTACCGTAAAGTGCTCAACTTCGCATGCAGGTTGTCGGGCTACCGAAGGGGAAAGTCTGATCAAAGTGGGCCGAGGGTGTGAAGCGTTGGCCCCTGTTAAACCATTTTACCATAATGCACTTTCACATGCAGTTTCTTGAGCTACTAAAGTGGGGGCGCCATCCTTTGTAATGAGAATTAAAGTTGCGATGGAGTCTTAAGATCATCCTCAGGGATGTTTCCCAGACCATCACCTATAGCTCATTTGGTTGGTCTAGTGTGACTTTAATAAAGTAATACTACTACTACTACATTTAAAAAAAATTGTTTCATGTTTATTAAAAACAGAATTTGGCAGTTTTTTTAAATTATAAATATCAGTTTTTTCTCATCTTAAGGTTTTATAAACAGTAGACACTGAAGAAACTATCCCTGTAGCCATTTTACATGTTTGAGTAAATATTTACGAGTACGCATCTGCGTCTACTGAGATTGGTTTGGTGAGATTCTTGTACTCTCACGTGCAACTCTGCTGCATTTTGCAAGATAATCTCCATTTCAGACTTCATTTTCCATCCTCTGATACCGAACCAAAAAATCTCTCGATCTTTTCAGGGTGGCTAATATAATCGAGAAAAGAGTTATTTGTCAGAACTAGTTATTTTATCATGATCATGTAAAGTCTTTGAAAATTATTTTGCATTTTGTTAATAGTGTATATAGTGCTTAAAAATATATTTTTAGTGCTTGAAAAGTACTTTAAAGGTGATTGTTGAGAGATTTTTCTATGTATCCTGTTAAAGCTTTTATACTGAAGAAGGCATCCCTTTATGAATATAGAAGATGCTATGTTTTTCATTACCAAGTGCTATATATATGTATAATCTGAGTCATTTAAATGACGTATTCCAACTACTATTTATAAAAGTGTTCTTTTTTTTTTCCAGAACTCTCCTGAACATTGGAAGCAATCAGATTGGCACGAAAAGCACTTATTGTTCCATAGGGTATATTTAAATATTATATCTTAAAATAAAATGACATTTGAATGTGATATCTCTCCTTATTCTATCAACCTCATACTTTTGTAAAATTATCTTTTGTTATAAAGATTTTGAATGAAGACTTATTGGATTATCCCTCCCCCTTAAATAACCTTATTTTGAGTTGCATTTTTTTTTTCATGACATATTCAATTTTAAAAATCAGATGTATTTTTCTTTTTCTTTTTGCTAACGCTGTTTTATTTTGTGCAAAATATACTTCACCTTATTGTCGTACAGGAGTGTTTAGATTATCTAATAAGTATAAAAAAGGTACTTATTCTTTCTCACTCTCGATTCCATTTTGTCTGCAAAATTGGATTCAGGATAATCATACTTTATGGGAGTTCATTTCTTGTGATAAAATAAAATTTAAATGAATGATCTTTAAATGTTGTTGTTGTCTTAGGCCATTACAGCAACAAGTGTGAGTGTTCTTGTTTTCCAGTGGTGCCATCTATGACTAAAAATTAAACTTCTGCCACACCCAATTATAAGGCGAACCAGGGTTGGGTTTTTGCCGTCAAAAACTGGTTTTTGACATGACAGTGGTAAAAACCGTGTTTTTACCAGTAAAAACTGTCAAAAACCTACCGTTTCCTTTTATTTATGGCATATAGCGGACAATATATTATTTTCACATAATTGCCTTTATAAATTAATGTTGTAAATGATTGCTATTGATTTTGCAACTATATACACGTATTCTTATAGAAGGGTATACATTCATGCAGAAATATTGTAGTATACTTATTGAAAATAGTGATACTTACTTTTATCATTATAGCTTGATTTGCAAAGGATTCAAAATTTTGCACTTCTTAATTGTTAGAAATAAACAAACAAACAAAAAAGCTTGGAACTATTAATAAATTCAGGAACTAAAATGAAGAATTTAAAATTTGGCATTTCTTAAATATTAGAAATAAGCTAAACAAAACTTCTAACTACTAACAAACTCTATGTCAAGAAATACTGCTATTTTGTCAAGTTAAAAGCTTTTATTCAGTTGAAAAAGCACATTAAACAAAACTTAATTACAAACAAAATTATATGTTCAGTAGTCGGGGTCACTGTGCCGAAGCATACGATAGCAAGTGACTAATTTTGCGAATTTTTCATTGCCCAGTCGATTTCTGAATTTAGTATGGATGAGTCCAAAATTCGAGAATAATGACGATTCGAAATCATTGAGGATAATGATAACAAAAGGTTAGTGCAATGTTGCCAGGAAACTCTAAAAGGATTTCCCAGGCTTTTTCATGTCTCATTTCTGTGTAAAATATTGAAAACAAAAATGATAAGAAAAGTTTATTTTATGAGGCTTTCTTTTTATGTGTACATGTGTTTCTCAAAGCAAGATTTTATGAATGAAAGTAATCAATCTTGACATTCTTCAGTAATGTAATATGCCCAACAAAATGCTTGGAAATGTTGAAAATTTTGATTAGTATCCTAATATTTTACTTCAAATAGTATGTTTTGATATAATCATGTTGGGAAAATGCAGGAATCTGTTCTTAAATATCTTTTAGCAACTTTGTTTTAAATTTTATAGCCAAATAAAAATAGAGTTTTATCCAAACTATGGTTTTTTGTCAGTTTTTGACAGAGGGGTTTTTGACATGACGGTAAAAACCATGGTAATAACCGATAAAAACCGTCACGTGTCAAAAACTTGCCAACCCTGGGGCGGACCCATTCATTCTTCCACAGATTGTAATTTTGACCTGAACCAGAGAACGATCAATCTATTTATTAATAAAATGCAAATTTGGCAAAAATAATATTTTGATACATTTTCTTAGATCAATTTTATCGAAATATATTGTTTATACAAATTACTTGTGTACCGTAATTATATTGTTATAGCCTCAATGAAAGTAAAATATCTGTCTTACTTAAAGAATTTTTGATATTTTCGGCAATTTTATTTTTAATTACTGTTTTCAAAATTTATATTGTTTATGTGGGGACATAGATATTTTTTGATTTGAATTAATATTCATGAAAATTTATTAAATTACTTTAGAGTGATTTTTTTTATTTTATTTTTCAGCACTCTTATTATTTTTTTTTAAAAAAGAAAAATTCTCCCATTTTCCTCGTTATTTTCTGAATCTTTCGCCTGCTGTCCCTGCATGTCCTAATGCTTTTCTTCTCTTCAGATATACCAGGAAAAGTTTTATTTTGAAGGATTACACGACCCAAGAAGCGAGCACACCTATTTACCTGTATACTTTGGAAATGTCTGCCTCAGATTCCTTCCTGTCATGGATATTGTCATTCACAGGTTTTTAGAATTACCAGCAGTTCCCATGTCTGTAGAGGGTCTGCTAGACCAATATGGATGTCTCTACAAATTTCATGGTAAGATCCTAAGCATCTTTTAATTTTGAATATATTTAGTGATAACGATTTATCCGTAATTATTACGATTTCATAGTCATGGTTATGGTTAGTAATGGTTAGTAAATGAATTTTTCTTTAGAATTTCCATCACAATCTATGATTCTTAGCATTTTTAAAAAGTGCTTATAGGTGCTTATTTTCGTGTTTTAAAAGCCCTTAGGTTTTTTTTCCATGTAATTAAAAAAATCTTTTTAATAAAACTAACTGAGCCACCGCGGCTCTATTTTTTCCCATTTTTCATATCCATGTAACGCAAATCCGGATTAGTTCCATCATAAAGTCCTCCATGAGGGCAAAATTTCTCCCAATACTTGTTCCAGGAGCTCTTTTGTCTTCTGGATTGGGTACAAAATTGCAAGGTTACGGAGTGGAAAATCAGTAGCCAAAAGCCGTAAATTGGGTAGACTGTTCGACGATGGTTATAAAATAAAATCTTAGACTGCACCAAAATGATATTGTTACTCCAAATGATAGGTATTTTGCGAGCATTATCTCATAGTTTTTCTATTTCTTTTCAATGAACTTTGTAAGTTATTTTAAAACTTTGTAAAAAGAAGTTATATAGTTTCTGAAACAAAGTCAGGGTTCTTGCTGTCCTAAAATGTCCTAAAAAAGTGCTAAAATTTCCCCCCAACTTTTTTAGGGCCTAAAAAGTGCTAAAATTTCTTCTGAGTGCTAAAAAAGTGCTAAATATTTTTTATTTTGGCGTTNTGGAAATGTCTGCCTCAGATTCCTTCCTGTCATGGATATTGTCATTCACAGGTTTTTAGAATTACCAGCGGTTCCCATGTCTGTCGAGGGTCTGCTGGACCAATATGGATGTCTGTACAAATTTCATGGTAAGATCCTAAGCATCTTTTAATTTTTAATATATTTAGTGATAACGATTTATCCGTAATTATTACGATTTCATAGTCATGATTATGGTCTTATTGTTAGTAAATGAATTTTTCTTTACAATTTCCATCACGATCTATGGTTCTTAGCATTTTAAAAAAGTGCTTAAAAGTGCTTATTTTCGTGTTTTAAAAGCCCTTAAAGTTGCTTTTTTTTCATTTAATTAAAAAAATCTTTTTAATAAAACTAACCGAGCCACAGCGGCTCTATTTTTTCCCATTTTTCATATCCATGTAACGCAGGCGCGGATTAGTTCCATCATAAAGTCCTCCAAGAGGGCAAAATTTCTCCCAATACTTGTTCCAGGAGCTCCTTTGTCTTCTGGATTGGGTACAAAATTGCAAGGTTACGGAGTTGAAAATCAGTAGCCAAAAGCCGTAAATTGGGTAGGCTGCTCGACGATGGTTATAAAATAAAATAAAATCTTAGACTGCACCAAAATGATATTGTTACTCCAAATGATAGTTATTTTGCGAGCATTATCTCATAGTTTTTCTATTTCTTGTCAATGAACTTTGTAAGTTATTTTAAAACTTTGTAAAAAAAAGTTATATAGTTTCTGAAACAAAGTATGACACACTGTACATTTTAATCTCCTTACCTTTTTTCATCAATTGATACTCTGCTCTTGCTGGTTTTGAGTTTCCTACATGTGTTTCAGATCGTCCCCTGACCTACTTGTATAATACTTTGCATTACTACGAAGGAAAGTTGACAGATCGTCCGTCTTTGAAGAAGAAATTGGTGTCTGCCATCATAGGTAAAAAATAACATCCTTTTTCAGTTGAAATTCTTAATTTTAATGACTTCAAAAAAATAATAATAATATTCCTCCTCCCAGGTTCTCTGAAAGACATTCGACCTGAAGGTTGGGCCCTGAGTGAAGGGTATCTAAACTTCCTACAAGATGAATCGGAAGAGCTGGCTTGGATTCCCGATCATGATTACTATGTGAAACTGATTGGTCGCTTAGTAGATAGTATCCTTTCTTTGTTGAGATATTCATTTGTAACTCATATTGACTTATCAATAGTTTATACTATGAAACTAAACTCAGTGGCGCAACAGCCCAGCCTACTGTTCCCGTCTCAGTTTCCTTGACCTTGGGCTCTAGGGTGCAGTGATAGACTAAGTGCAACTATTATAGATTCTTAACTTATGTTCATAATATTGAGGGAATTCCCAAGAATTGTGAAAATTTTACTGGCATACTTAAAAGTCTAAAATATGTGTGAATTCATGCAAGAATTAGAAACAATGGATCTGATGGTAAAGGAATGTCTGATGCTTTCAAAATTAGATTTAAGAGGATTTTTAAAAAGAAATAGATTTTTTTTCTTCCAAAAACTCCATTAAAAAGAAGAAAAAAAGTAACTTTCAAATCAGTAAAAGTGTATACATGGTGGGTACAGTTTTTAAAAAGTACTCAAAAGGTGCTTACTTTCGATTTTTAAAAACCCTTGAAAGTGCTCTTTTTATTGGGTGTTTTTAAAAATATTTTTTCGAAAATGAGATTTTTTCTCTACCGTGTCGATTTTGGTCATGTATTATGGAAAAACTTGCTTTTCACATTGTTCTACTCAACATTTTCACAATTCATTCAAACACAATGCGTTTCAGAATACCGTCGTTCTGTAGCATATGCAAGAGCCAATCATTTTACATGTTTAATAAAATACTTGGGGATCCGCATGTGCATCTACTCAGCTGGGTTCGATGAGATTTTTCTTCTATCATGCGCAACTTTGCTGCATTTTGCACTCTCCATTTCAGGCTTCATTTTCCACCCTCTGAAATCGAACCGCAAAATCTTTGGATATTTTTGTGGTGGCTAATATAAACAAGAAAAAAGTTCTTTGTCAGAAACTAATTATTTTATCATGATCATGTAAAGTCTTTGAAAATTATTTTGCATTTTGTTATTCTATATAATGTTTAAAATTTGAGAGGAAATTGTCACAACTAGATTAACCGCCATAAAGTGATTGTTTAAAAACGCTGATCATAATAGTATTAGTATATCAAAAAAGAAATTTAAATATTAAAAAGTATGTCAAATTTCTAAGCTGTTGAAAATGCGATCACTCAGGTAATGAATCCAGTCAGAAATCCAATTTTTGAAAAGTGATTTCTTCAAATGCGTAATTCAAAACATTTCAGTGCAAAACAATAGTATTAAAAAATCTTGTGAATCCATGACATTAATGAAAATGTTATTGATTAAACTACATGGTTTTATGGGTGAACCGTCAATAATCCACTCCGTCGAAAAATTATTCTACAAATGTGCAATTTGAAACATCCCATGTGTGATAATGTAGCATTAAATAATCATTTAAAAAAATGTTAAAATAAGAATGTGATTTTAAAATCTCATGTGATTACTGGTGATATACTATTATTTGAATAAAGAGATTCTTCAAATACGGCGAAGGAAATGATATGGTATTAAAACATTGAGATTTTGAAAACCAAGTGAAAATCTGAAAAAAAGGGTTGCAAAAAACATGCGGATTCACTGTGGCATCTTCTAATCGAGTGGATGGAAAAATAAGGAAATTCTTCATTCGGTATTTGCGGCATGTTATTATGACTTATTAAAATACCGAGATTTTAAAGAGCCGTGTGAAAATCTGCAACAATAGCTGCCAAAATTGTGATTGTGTGTGTTGTTAAATGAAATTGACGTTAATTATCGTTAATTTTTTTTTCTTTTCTTATTGAATGAACATGCTTTGATGTTTATCTGAAAGATCTATTTTACGGGCTGCCTGAGTCGTGTCAATTCTGAATATGATACTTTCCATTGTATATCTTATAGTTACATCTAAAAAATCAGTCTCTTTTGTATAGTTTATTGATCATTTCAATCTTTTTATTTAAAGTATATTAGCTTTTATAAGATAAAGGATAGTTTTATTGATAGCAGTCACATCTCCTTAACCAATGCTAAAGCACTTGGTGGTAAGTCGCCTTTTCCTCATACAGACTGGCGTTTCAATGAGTTTCCCAACCAAGGGGCCCACGCCCTACATGTGACATGCATCGAATTGATGGCTCTCCCCACGGCGACCACCAGTGTCGGAAATGCAGTGCTGGATATCGTATTGAGAGGGTGAGACTCATTTCTGAAAATTCTATTGGATTATAAATCACAAATTAAATGTCTAAATGTTACTTCAGATGTAATAATTGTTTAATTTATGTGTAATGATAATTGTGAATGAAGCATTTACATTTTATCGACAATTCTGTGTCTTTAAAAATTTAATTTTTATTTGCCGAGAAGTCAAAATTCCAAATGATATGTTTGAGAAAATACATTTCTTTCATCAAGAGCAGTGGTTGAGAAGTTGAGTAGCACATTAATCCATCGTTAAAAGTTATTAAACTTTCTAAAAAATCCCCAAATTTGGTGACATTTTATCAAAATTAATGCCTCATTTTTCTGCTTTTAAAAATTTTTATGAGCCGAAGTTTTGTAGCATTGGAGTAAGTTTCTAAAGATTAAAAATTAAACCACGAAAGCTCATAATTTTTTCAAACTAAGCCTTCGAAACAACCTTAAAAGTTAAACATGAATTTTTACTGAAAGAGGAGTTAAGTTGATCTGACATTTCATTTCACATTATGTTTGTTGCATGTTGAGTCATGTTAAGGAACAAATTTTATTATTTTTAATGTCAAGTTTGTGGTAACTTGCATTCGTTTTTTAATATTTTCATAAGTAAAATAAATAGGAATCTTGCAAATTTTTCATTAAAAAAATTTCTTTGCTAGTATAAAATTCAAACGTGTCTAATTAAATTTCCTAGAAAAATTATATATATATTTAAAATAATATTTATTTATATATATAAAATTATATATTATATTTTTTTTTTGAGATTTCACATGATTATTGTTGCAAGTAAAATGTAGTGTGTCAGTAAATGTTCACTTAAATATGTCTGTGGGTAGAAGAGTGGGTGATTATGCCAACCTTCTTCTATCAAAAGGTATCCTGAAGATGGAATCGAGTTATCATGTCTTATATATTAGTGAATCCTCCTCAACAATTTTATCAGGGATAGAATTTGATGAATGGATACCACTAGCTGCCATTCGTGCAGACCGGGAGAGCTGTTTTAAGTTCACTGGATTTTGAGAGCTGTATTAAGTTCACGGTGGTGTTGGTGGTCTCTCCTCTATTAGTAGTCGAGTGTATGTAATTGAGACTGAGAAGCAACAGCTCAAGGAGGACGTTGACCCAGTCACAAATAGCAACTCAACTGTTCAATGTNATCCCCAATTTGGTGACATTTTATCAAAATTAATGCCTCATTTTCTGCTTTTGAAAATTTTTATGAGCCCAAGTTTTGTAGCATTAGAGTAAGTTTCTAAAGATTAAAAATTAAACCACGGAAGCTCATAATGTTTTCAAAATAAGCCTTCGAAACAACCTTAAAAGTTAAACATGAATTTTTACTGAAAGAGGAGTTTATATTTAAAATTATATTTATTTATATATATAAAATTATATATATTATATTTTTTTATTGAGATTTCACATGGTTATTGTTGCAAGTAAAATGTAGTGTGTCAGTAAATGTTCACTTAAATATGTCGGTGGGTAGAAGAGTATTTGACTATGCCAACCTTCTTCTATCAAAAGGTATCCCGAAGATGGAATCGAGTTATCATGTCTTATATATTAGTGAATCCTCCTCAAGAATTTTATCAGGGATAGAATTTGATGAATGGATACCACTAGTTGCCATTCTTGCAAAAGACCGAGAGAGCTGTTTTAAGTTCACCGGATTTTGAGTGCTTGTGGTGAGAGCTGTTCTAAGTTCACGGTGGTGTTGGTGGTCTCTCCTCTATTAGTAGTCGAGTGTATGTAATTGAGACTGAGAAGCAACAGCTCAAGGAGGACGTTGACCCAGTCACAAATAGCAACTCAACTGTTCAATGTCAATCATTTTATTTTATTCTATAACTGTTGGTGAACAGCTGACCCAATTTTGGGTTTTAAGACTACTAATGTTCAACTCAGTAGCCTTGCAATTTTGAACCAATCCAGAAGACAGAGGAACTCTTGGACCCCTAGAGGTATGATTTGTTATGGGAACATGGAGGACTTTGTAACTCGGCAGATTTAACGTGCAGCAGTCACCATTTACTACACTGGGAGTTTTCGGCCAGCAGGGATCGAACCCGCTACCTCTTGCCCACTTTAATGTGAACCTTTAGTCAAGGTGGGTGTTTACTTTCTATGTAGGCAAGTTCATATCGCGTCCGCTGGTCACCAATGTGGGGTTAGGATCTTTCGACCATGCCAACCTTCATCTGTCAAAAGGTACCTCAGGATTGAATCGAGTTAGCATGTCTTATATACTAGTGAATTGAAGTTTAATAATTGTAGTGGTAGTTACGCCACATGTTTTTTATATGACATGAGAACCTATGGAAATAAAATAAACTATGTGTAATATTTTATTGTAGGCGCACCGTCGCAATTCATTCTAATATCCTTGCCTGGATGAATGCTGTTGGACTTGTATTGACTGCCTTGCCCGTAAGTTTCTTTTTTCTAAGGAGCTGTGTTCTTAGTATTAATTAAAGGAAAATTCTTTTCTTATTTAAACAAATCAAAATAAATTGTAAAATGGTTGATTTTGTGGATTGAATCAACTGAAGAGAGGACAATTACAGTCAATTTTTTTTAAAAAAATGCATTCAGAATCTCTCAAAACTCCCAGAAAACATTTTATTCCTTTTCTAAGAGTGCTAATTATTTAGTTATAATTAAATCCAACTATTTGAAATGGTAAATAACTATGTGAGAACAGAAATATGTATAAATGAACTACTCTAATGTATCTTAATGAAAATGTGGGCTTAACCCCTTAACAGTGACATATTTTTAGAAAAATGTAAAAAAATTTTTGACTGTTTAATTTTGTTCTTTATATAATTATAAAAGTTAGAAAATGGTTTTTTACAAAAATAAAATTTTGAATGCAGTAACTACTGTATTTATAATTTTTACATACACATGAAAAAGTAATGGATTACACATACATCTTATTCAAGTAGAGCAAATGAAACACAATTTTGAAGCGAAATATAATATAACTAATATAATATAAAATAACAACACTATGATTTTCAATTCATAAAGTTAACAAATCTTTTACAGTATGCAGTATATCCCAATATACAGTACTGCACACAAGTTCATATCACACTCCTTGCATCACCCGCATTTTCCTTCCTTCAACTGAAGCCGTAATCGATGAAAAACTAGGACCACTCCTGCCATCTATTAGGAAAATAGTGAATTAAGTATCCTAAAGTAGAAACGAACTCAGCTCGAGCTTCACAAAATAGAAGCATTCATTTTTCTCCTGCTTAAAGTTAGTTCGGGTATTGCAAACACTGGATTTTGGAACTTGGAAATGGATTTGGGCAACACTGGCTAGGGATTAATGTAACGTAATTTTATTATATTTTAAATTTCAATGGTACCCACTGAAACATTGTTAATAGTTGATAAAATTTGAATAGTAAAATTTCTTTGTGCAGTAAAAGAAGTGTTAGCATAAGTTATGGATTCTTGATATTACTTATTAAAATGATGCATTATAGATACAAAATAATTTTGTTCTTTAATTTTTTTAGCCAAGTTTATTTTAATTTTAAAGTAAATTTCAAATTCATTTCGAAGATTTATCTTCATGTTAAGTGGGGGGAAAATTTGAATCCCTTTTTTTATAAAGAATAGTTTTAGATATTATAAATGCAGAAAAACTTAAGTTATTATTTTTTTTTAGTTATTTATTCTAACTTGAATTTAATGCAGGAAATTATCTTCAGCATAGCAGTAGCCTTTCGAAAAAACTTGTAATCTCAGCATAACTTTGAATTCATTCTTTCAACAACAAAATATTTAAGTTAAAAGAATAAAAAAAAAACTAATATATTCCTGTTTGTTTTATTCACCTTATTTTTATTAACATTAATCTATGTTATAAGAGTATTGAAATTAAGAATATGCATATATTTAGTTCTACACAATAGGAACAGGAATTAAATTTTATAAATGCATATAAAAAAAATTTTCAATGTAGCAAAATTCCTATTTACTCAAAGAATTAAAATATCGAGAACAATATCAACATTACTGTCTATTTAATAAATAATAATAAAAAAATATGCATTATAATTTCTTTGCATTTTGCATAATTTATTATTCAGCTTTAATGAAACACGAAGGTCTCTAGTTTATTGATACTTGCTAAAATTAGGTGGCTAAATTAAATTATATTAGGTGAAATTTTAAGATTCACCACATAAATTGTGGCAATGATGATGATGGGCAGATATATTTCAATGAATTAGATTCGTGAAAGTGGTGCTTCGTTTTGGTGATACCAATTGATTAACCTTAGATTTTTTCACCTATTTTAATTTTAAAAATTTTTTCTAAAACTGTGTAGTACATTAATTTTATATTTTTTTATGTATAAAGAAGACACGCAACATAGCACAATAGTGGTTATTTTGAAAATATATTTTAATACTTGATAAACTTTGTAAATAATTTTAAAAATAGTTGAGTATATATTATCTTTCTTTTGGAGCACCTAGTATCTCTTATTTTACTTTTTTCTTTGTGTCTTTAAGGAAGCATATTGGTCAGTTTTAAATGACCGCATCTTAGAAGTGATGAAGTCTCCACTTTTGTCTGAGCCATCTCCCGACATGGATCCGTTCCTGATGTTTGATTTTGCCGGAAGTTACAACAGCATGACAGAGTTGCCGTGCAGCTACCTCGTCGCTCTCACTCACTCTGTTTGGTATCACGCCAGTATAGGACAAATTTGCACCCTAACTCAGTGAGTGGTTGTTTAATCTCTTATTTTAAACCCTAAACATATGGCTTGAAACTCATGGCATACTTTTACCTATGCTAGCCAAATCTACTTCTAACCTATTTATGTAATTAAAATTTTAACTTAGATTTAATTTTGCCACCAATCTGCAGGAAATCATCCTTACCATATCAAAGCATGGTGAAACCGTCCTATTAATAAAATCATGAAGTTTTGCAAAAGTAAATTTTTGGGGGGAATGTATTGAAAAAACAAACTGCATTTTCTTATCTGAATATTTAGAGTTTCCTCAAGTTGTGAAAGTATATGTGGTGAGAGTTGTTATATTTTTGTAGTGGTAAGTACACTACAGTACTCCTCCACCAGAATTATATCTGTGATATAATTCAATGAACGGGATACCACCAGGTGATTCATTACTATTTTGTGAGTAGCTGAGAGAGCTGTATTAAGATCACCGTACTTTAGAGTGCTAATCGTGAGAGCTGTATTAAGTTCACGGTCATGGTTTCTCCTTTGTTGCTATTAGTAGTCGAGTTTATGCAGGTCGATATTGTGTGTGATTTAGACTTAGTTTCTGTCAAAGTCACCAATGTGGGATAGTAGTTACTGACAATGTCAACCTTCATCTATGAAAAGGTACCCCACCATAAAATCGAGTTAACATGCCTTATATACTGGTGAATTGGAATTATATATTTGTGATGGTAGATACACTACCGTATATAATTAACAAATTTCATTCTGCCCCCAATTAACAATAAAGGCAAACTTACCAATGTGGATCAACCTTCCTAAGGGAGGGGGAGAATTGAAAAAACGTGAAAAGAAATCCAAATGAAAATGAACTTTCTTTTAACTTTTATCAATTATTACATAATGTAACCTTTTTTATTTTCAAATAACTAGTAATCCAAAAATACAGTCAATTCGCTATAANCTTAAGGAAGGGGGAGAATTGAAAAAACGTGAAAAGAAATCCAAATGAAAATGAACTTTCTTTTAACTTTTATCAATTATTACATAATGTAACCTTTTTTTATTTTCAAATAACTAGTAATCCAAAAATAGTATGAAAACTTTTCAGTTAGAAGTATTTGTTTTATAGTTTTTGATTGCATCAACTTTTAGAAATTTTAAGTAAAAAATTTTTTTTTAATTTTTCCAATTTATTTCGTGACATGATTTTATGACATTTTAATTAGTCTAAACTTTCTAAGAATGGAAATTTTTCTGTATCACATCTGCTCACCAAAAATTATTATATTTAAATCATCTCAGGTCAGTTGCCGTGTTATAAAAATGTCCAATTTTTTAACGAAATATTACAAATCAGGGTGAAAATTATGGATCTGAAACCTATTGTGTAATCTTATTGACTGACTATATAAAGCATAACATATTTTTTTATACATATAGTTTAAATTAACAAATTTTAATTATATATATAAATTTTAATTATATTAATTTATAATGATTAGTCTCTTTCGAAAAAATGTAAATTGATAATGATTGGTCACAGTCAGAAATCTGACAATTTCGGATGTAAATAAAATAGAATATTTTTTCCCATTGCATAACTTGCAAATAAAAGTCGATTTCAGACCAATTTCCTATTTTGAAGCTGGTTTACTAATTGAAAGAGTTACAATGTCATTTAAAAATTACAAACTTTTTCCCCCATAAAAGATTACTTCTGTGTCAGAGTGTATTAACTATTTCAGGGAACTAAATTTTAAGATAATCTTGATGTCAACTATAGAAAAACTTTTGAGAAAAAAAGCCAAATTTAAACACCAAAAATGTTTAATTTTAGTTTTGAATATTTTGCATTTTAAAAAATGATTGAAAATAATTGATGTCTTTAATTGAATAACTATAAATAATTCTGTTTTGATCTCATTTCAGACTATTGAGGGAAAAATTTAAACCTGAAGTGAAAACAGAGGAGCAGTTTCTGTTTATCTGCCATTTAGTTTCACCCTTTTTGCAGCGTTTTTATGTGGAGAGAACACGATATGCAATGGAGGTATGTGTGCATCCTTCCTTTCACAAAACAGGATGCAATCATTTTTGTGAATGCTATTTGTGAAAACCTGACTTTTTTTTATTTGTATGTTTGAAAACTTTTCATAACTTCTTTACATTGAAACAGCAAAATTCTTTTTTAATTGCATAAATTTTGAAAAGTAATTTTGTTATTATAAAAACTGTGTAAGTTGACAATTTGTTGTGCATTGTTATATAGTTGTCAACTTGTACATATGAATGAGTCCTGTTTTTTTCTTCTTTTATGCACCATTTTTCACATATATATATACAGTCGGACCTCTATTTCACGAAGTCATTAAATTCCAATTATAAGTCCGTTATATGGAAAATTCCTTAAATAGAAAATCCCCTTTTGAAATATGTAAACAACAAAAAAAAAGTTTAAAATATACACTAGACATAATTAAAATAGCAATTGATACAACTTTATCTTCTAAACTAGTATCTACTATTTATTTTATAGATCTTAACCATAAAAGAAATCTGCATGAAAAGCAAGAATAGAGCAAAACATTATTTAGTGTTACATTATCATGCTACATACATTTTCAACTAAGGGATTTTAACATACATTACCACATGCGTTCTTAAGTTTAATTGCTACTGATTAAATCCGTTAATTTTGTCTGAGTTTTTCGTTGGAAATGCAAACAAAAAGGGAAAGAGATATTATTGCTTTCTCTGAAAGTAAAGTGGCTTCGAAAATAAAAATGCGTTAACAATAAAAAAATGCCCCCATAAAATGCGTTAACAAGTTTGAAATGTCCTGAAATATTTTGGGAAATGGGAAAAGTGGATCCCCCCCCAAAAAAGTTTGTTAAATAGAAAATTCACTTCGCTATTTGAAAGATATTTTTCGAAGAAATTTCCAAAATATTCATGGTTCCTCGAAAAAATAGCAAAATAGAGAAATTCGCAAAATGGAAGTTCCTTAAATAGAAGTCCAACTGCGTATATATATATATATGATTATAGTTAGTTTTTTTTTTAAATAAGACTTTAAAATTTTATTTAGAAAATATATGTTACAAAAAGATTAATTACCATAATGATTTACAATTGATTATATAAATTTAATGTTTAACTGATTTCTTAGAAACCAATATGCATATTTTGTTAATGATGCATGCAACACATTTATTTTAAATTATTTCTTAAAATAACATCTATATGCAATTAAAAAACTTAACATTGAATAAGTATAAGTATTTTTTTTTAATATTTATGCTGATATATTTCTTTTACAAATACCCTGACTTATTTTGCAAGACATGACTTAAATGAGTGAGAAGTTGCAGTGGAAGTAAATTTTTTTAATTACATATTTATTTAAGTTATTCTTTGTGGTGTTTCTATTTGATCTTTTTTATTTAATATCTTTTTTATTTAATATCTTTTTTTCCAAAGCTCTTTTAAATACAATATAAAATGTTAATTTATATGCTCGAAACTAACAAGCTCTATGCTTCTATAAATATAAAGACTATTTGCGCCACTCTGTTCCCAGAATAAAAACATTCCTGAAAATAAACATGTGTGTCACAATTAACAGCTGCAGTGTCAGTAATGTTCAGTTCTTGTTGTTCCTTAATTTTACATCTCTAGTTGTACAACTGCCCTCCATTAAAAATAAAAACACTTTTTTTTTTATAAATAATAATTTAAAAGTTTCTATTTTGTAGATACAGTATTCTTTTTTTCCCTTTTGTGTAGTGGCCATTAAAATGTTCAGGTGTCAAAAATGTTAGTATATATTTTTTTCGGCAATTACTTCTGCGGATTTCATGATTTTTACTTACTTTTTTTTAAAATTGTAATGATTATTTACAAAAGGCAAAGAAGGAAATAATTTGTGCCCCCCCTCCCCCCGCAACAAAATGCAAAAATATCACCTATAATATTTGAATAAAAAATTATTACATGTTCAATTAAAAAAAAATTATCTAGTTTTTTTTTGTAAACACATAGCTTTTATTATTTTAAATTAGCAGCATTTATATGTGTTATAATTAAAAGTATCTTGCAGAAAGATATTAGCTCTAGAGAGTTTTGTCGCAGGTGGCTCGAAAAAATTCTGCCACAAGGGATCCTACCGTGTGCTAATAAAAATGCACCGACAACATTCAACAATGAAAAACTGCGACACCATCATTAGATTTTTATACGTAGTAAGATATATAGCATTTTCCATAGCTTATGGCATTGAGAAAAGAAATGCTTTCCAAATAGTTCCATTGTTAAATTATTAAAAACTAAACTTCATTGGTTGTTAATTTATTAGTGAAAAAGCACTTACGGCTGCTTCTTGACATACATTAAAAATCCGGTTAATGATTCAGCATACTATAGTTATGATTTCAATAATTTGCATTTGACTTTTGCTACTGTAAGATAGTTATTATTTTCAATATTTGTAGTATTTATCATTTGTATTGTAGATTACTGTAGAACTTTATGAAATGTTGGAAGCTGTTGATAAAAACTGTGAGGAGTTGCGCTACATCGATCCTGTGTGCGACTTACTGTATCCTTTACTGTTTTATTTTCAATTGATTCAATTATGTGCTAATTTCTTTTTGTACTTTTTTTGTGATATTTATGAAGATCATACGTTTTTCAAAATTTAAGAGGACTCATTGAATTCCATAGATTTAAAAGTATAATAAGTTATAAAAATTAGCTCATATGCTAGGAATTTGGATTTAATAATTTGATTTCTTAGCAAGACTTGTAGAGGCAGTAGGAAAAATAGCAGACTCTGACTGCTGGAATTTTGAATTTAAAGACTGACTTTAACTCCCTCATATATATATATATAAAGCAAATTAAATAAATGCAAAAAACATGAAGAAAATTAAGAAAAGCAATAAATTTCATTTATTGCGCATAAGCTGCAAGTAAATAGAACTCATAAAATAAGTTCGAAATTAAGATAAAACAAAGGAAAATTACAAACATATGAAAAAATGGAGGGAAAGAAAAATAATAAGAAGAACAAAAATAACAAAAAACTGGAGAAAAAAAAAATTTATTATTATTTTTTATTTAAATTATTTTTTTCCAGTTTTTTTTTTTATTATTTTTTTTTTTCTGTTTCCCCCTTTTTTTCATATGTCTGTAATTTTCCTTTGTTTTATCTTCATTTTGAACTTATTTTATGAGTATTCAATCTTATTGAACTTATAATGAACTTATTTTATGAGTATATGTAATTTTCCTTTGTTTTATCTTCATTTTGAACTTATATATGTACATATTACATCATTTACTCAAAACAAATGAAAGTATAACACGGGATTCGTTGTTTATATGTCATTAGTAAACTTTTGTATTGATGTCTATTATATCTGAGCTCATTTGAAATATTTTGTATTTCTCTCATATTTTTTATTTTCTTGAAATAAAAATAACATTAAATGAGACACTAATTTCGATCGTCAAACTGAAAGCATATCTATAGCTATATTTATAACAATAGCCTATCTATTACTCTATATATGCTTAAAAAGTCAATTTTCAATTATAGGATTTTGGTGAACATTTTAGTAAAAGTATTTCATATATATATTTGAGTTTTTTTAATATTAATTTAGTTTTATATAGTTAAAAAAAAAATTTCCTTTCATTTATTATAACTAAATTTAAATAATATCACATTATTTATTTATAATTACATGTATAGCATTTGTAAACATAAACACTAACTAAAATCCACAATTTTTTCGTGTTCAAAAGTCTCTTCTCAGATTATGATTTCAATTTAATTAAAATAGTTTTCAATAAATATAATTTGAAAAACTAATAATTCTGTAATAAAAGTTTAGTGTGCATTAACACAATTTTCATTGTGGGTAGATACGTATGTTGTGAGTCAGTATACTCAAATATATATATATATACAGGACTAATTGTGCTCCGTAAAAAATCCGAATTTCCGGATTTTTCGATAACTGGGATCCAGAAGTTTCCGAAATCGAAGGTTCAGACGTTTCAAAAAATCATTGATCACAAAAATTTTCGTAAATCAAACTTTCAAAGATGGAATTTAAAAACACAGATTATTTTATTTGCTTGTAAGGGAGAGCCCGAGAGATACTTTATACGCTTATATTCAAGATTAATATTTATTTTTTTATCAGTAAATAGTTATTATAATCATAAACTCAAGAAAGAAAGACTTATTTGTAAATTTCAATTGCTTCTCCAGGTCTTTCATAGGTATGTGTAAAATTTTAAATGTATTTTAAGTAAACTAAGAAATGTTTAGAAAAAGGAAAAAACCTTGTTTAAATTTTTTTCTAATTATTCAATTTAAACTTCTTTTTTTTTCACTTAAGAAATTTTCCGGAACTTTGACTTGGGCTCACAATCACCCCTGTATATATATTTGAATTTTTTTTTTTTAATATTAGTTTAGTTTTATATTTCGTTAATTTGGTGATATTAATAAATCTTCAAAAAATAAATATGTGAATTTTGTGTTTTTTAAGATTGTTTTTCTTGTCTAAACTAGCAAATGTTTTTATTCTTTTAAATATATTTCTTTCTTCCTTTTTTTTAATTTAAGAGATCTTTCTTATTTTAAAATGTGTTACCATTGTAATTTAAGTTCAATAAAACATCGATAAACGACGTTTGTTAACAGATTAATTACAGAAGAAATTAGAAATACAGAAAACCTGGAGATTCAGACACCTGGGATAGCGGTAATCCCAAGTATCCCGGACAGTTTATTCTCTACTGTTAATTTGTTTGTCTTCCAACAAAATTTTTCAAAATACAAATTTCCATTTCTAATTGTCCAAAAAAAATTTAAGCCACCACTCGAAACTCCTTGCTTCCAACTCTTTTTACCCAAATATCCTTCCAAATCCTTGATTCCGGCTCCTGCTTCTTAGAAGGTTATTCTCTAATTGATATATGTAAAGTGATGTTTCAAGTAAACCTATGGTCAGTTAATTGAAGTCTTTCATATATATATTTTTATTTTTAAAAAATTATTTTGTCACATTCAATTAAAACTTTATATTATTAATTTTATATTAATCAGATTATTCATTCAAATGCTGTATTTTCTGACTCATTCTCACTCAAATAAATCAATTCTCGTGTTATTGGTCTAAAATAAACTTACTATAAATAAATATTATATAAAACTAAATTTGATACTTTTTAACCTATAAAACAGCCTTTGCTTAAACACTGGAGTAAGAAATTAAGAGAATTTGTTCACTTGGTCGATTATCTCTAGAACTACTGGACCGATTTTAATGAAATTTGATGTGTACATGCGTTGATATAATACAAAACAAATAACTATTCAACAATTGAAATACACACGCATGATCGTGTATAACACTTGTTGGAGTCGGACAGTATGAAACTGCCCCTGGACAATTCAGGCCATTTGCCACAGGAAATGATAAACTGCCTTATTTCAAGTATGAAATCACGCTGTAAGGCCTGTATAACTGTAAGAGGGGACCATACCCCCTATTAACCCTTTTTTTGTTGTTAATTCTGCAACCGCTGTTTCATACCTTCCGACTCCAATGAGTGTTACGCACAATCATGCATATGTATTTCAATTGTGGAATGGTTATTTGTTTTGTATTTTATGAATCTATGTACATATCAGATTTCATTAAAATCGGTCAAGTAGTTTTAGACATAATTGACCAAGTCTGAAAATTCTCTTAATTTCTTACACCAGTGTGTGTGTATATGTATATATTATTATTATTATTATTAGTTAAGAAATCTGCTACTCGCCAAACAATATTTTTCACTATATTCCAATTTTTTAGAAATCAAGTAAGTTTTCAAGTGAAGAATTTGATTGTTTTTTTTCTTTCTAATAATGACTATCACTTTGTTTCTTTAACACTGATTTAGATATCATATAAAATATATGTTTATAGGAGATGCTATAAAAAATGAAATTGAACGTAGTATAAGGAATCTAAGACCAGCTATTCAGCGAAAATTGCGGTTCATTAGTCATCTAAACATAGAAGAAATGCAGACAAGTTAAAAAAAATTTTAATAATATTTTAACGCCAATTGAAGCTGTATTATAGAATTCTTCTCATTCAGCTGTTGTTTTAGTATTGGACTGTCATTCTTTTTCACATTGTATTTATATTGTTATTAATTCCTGTTTTTTGAAATTATTTAAAAAATTTTTGCTAAGAGCTGTATTGAATAAATACAGCTTTTTCTTTTAGTCTATGTAAATATGTAAATACGTCATATATTTTTTAAGACATGTGACATGAATGTAAAATACAATCTCAGAGAGACTTCTCAATTTTGTTAATTATTGTGATTATTCATTATAAAAATTATGGTTTATCTTAGTTTGTATATTGTGTTTGAATCATTTGTACTGCTTAAATTAAGAAAACAAACCACTTTGTGTTGGAATGTCCTCCTGACATTCTAATTTTCAATGACAAAATTTTCTGATTGTTTTGGGAAGGAAATTGTATATTCAGGGGTCTGTGCAGGGTAAATTTAATACTGTTTAGCGGTGCCTTCACAAGTTCAACTTCAGGGAAAATAGTAATTTCACAAATAAAAAAGCAAGTTCTCATGCAGGCGCCATTCTCGTTGCAATCTATGGAAAAGAGGAGCTTTCTGCCTGCTGTCTTTTACGAAAAAGTAGCACGTGTTTGGTCAGATAGTGCAACGTGGTAAGCCTAACCGGTCACTTATACCATATCAAACCTAACTTTTTTCCGCCAAGTTTTTTATAATGAAATTTCGAGGCTCTCCCTCTATAGACTTGTCAAAATTCAAAGATTATCTTAAACACTATTGTAAATTTAATCTAACAGACCTTTATTTCTTTATGCACCAATTTTTTTTTTTTCTCTGTGAAACTTTTTTTTTTGTATGACCCAGTTGAAAATATTCTCATAATGAAAATAACTTTTAGTGCTAGTACTGTCAAGTGCATGTTTTTATTAAATTCAAGTTGAAATTTAACTATGGACAATAATTTTTATGGATTTTGAAATTTGGATACAATTTTTAGTCTAAAATTTTACAATAGCAAAATTGTTTTTGAATATATGGGGAAATACATCTAGAAATTTACCAGTCATACATGATTTTTATTTGTAGTGACAATTTTTGAAAATATTTTCTTACTTTAACATATTTTTGTGTTGATTTTTTTATATAATTTTCACAAATTATGTCTAAATTTTCACAAAATAGGCACCTCTTAAAAAAAAACCTAAGGCAGACCCCTGATATTGTGTGCTAAGAAAAAAAATATGGCGAATAAACTTTTTTTCCTTCAAACCTTTAATCTACAATTTAAAAAATACAGGGTTGCCACTCCACAAGGAGAACAGGTAAAACCTGGAAAATACAGGGAATTTAAAAATCACCTAAAATGCAGGGAATTTTGACTTTTTTTCTTTACAAACTAGGAAAATACAGGGAATTTTGTTTCTTATTTTTGTCTTTTAAAAAATGGTGACCACTCGAAGTGTAATCTATGGGATATTTAGTCATGATATTTCAGCTATACTAAACTATTTCACTTACTATAGCATTATTTAAATATGTTCAGCTGTTTTCCCACCGATTAAAACTAATAAATATAGTTAGCCCTATATAGCTCACACAAGAGCACAGTAATTGTTGTTTCCTCTTAATATATTACTTATAATATGTACAGGGAAAACATAGGGAATTTTTTTTCCAGATTTGAGTGGCAACCCTGAAATATTTTCCCAGATCTACAGCCGATTAAGTAGCAGCCTGGAAAAATTCGAAGAAATTTAAATTGTATAATTTTTTATATAAGGAACAAATTAATTTCATTCTCTTCTGCATTCCTTTTCGTCCAATCCATTCCTTCCTGTAGCCAAATAATTTTTTTCCTGATTAAGATCATTTTGATGTTTAATAGTAAAGATATATTTAAGCCCCTTTAATTATTTATTTACATATTTATCGAAAAACGTTACATGAATACATGCAAGTATACTTCAATGTTACTTTAGTATTCAATATTTAATTTTTATTATGATATAACAAGTAATAAATTGAAGAAAAAATGAATATGGAAATTCTGGCATAAAATTGTGGAAAAGATTTTTTTTTTTTTACACGACTCTATTTTAATCTAAAACTAATTATGCAAATAAAAAAAAATTCGTCTATTTAGAAAGTTGTTTACGCAAAATATGCTAAAAATAATTTTTCAATTTTATAATGACAAAATTTTTATTGAATTTTAAGCTATACATATTTTTACGTCCTTCTTAATAGTGTAATTTTTCTGTGGAATTCCCCTTTTTACACCATAAACTTAACAATTCTAGAATTTTTAAGTTTATGGTGTTAAGCTAGGGGCCCATCAACGAATTTTGCAAGTTGATTCAAATATCTATTTCACCTAAATGTTTCTGAATTTTTATGAGTTCTTACAAAATTTTAAAAGGGAAAATTGGGGTCTTATACTTATTTATGATTTTTAGAGCAAGTAAAACTTGTATCATGGTAGTAAGTTATTTCAAAAATGTAGAGTTTTCTCTTTATTAATTTATTTAAAATGATTTGATACAATTAAAAATTCAAGTCAATTCAAGAGTGGTCATTTACAAATAGATTTTTTTTTTTAATATGTTACATTCAAAACGAACTCTAATTAAACTAAGTTCCATTTTTCAAAAGAACATTAAATCTTAAAATTGGTTGATAGGGAGAAATTATTTAATTGAGATTTAAATGAGTAATGGCATTTTGAAATATCAGAAGAGTGAATTAATTGAAGATGTTTTTTTAAAAAAAAAAATTAATATACTCCTTCAAATTGTAATTTTGAATTATAGTTTAACTCTTAATTTCGAAAACTTTCTTTCCAAATTTTCGTTATCATGCAGTTTTTTCTTCAAAATAGTTGTTGTATGTCTGAGTAAAATTGGATGACGAGCTCCAGATAAGTTGAAAAATTCACCTTTTTATTTCTTCAGAGTTCATTTAATTTCTTTTCTTTTTTTTAATTTCGCCATGAAAAATTACACTGAGTAAACGTAGTTTCCTTGAATTAAACATAGTTTTTTAGGAAACATATATGATTAGCATAGAAACTATAAAAACTATCTTCATAATTTATCACTACTTTGCTGAAGAAGTCTACGAATCCAAAATGGAGGATTTTAGTATTGAAGGTTCTCTTCCAAAAAAAGAAGAAAGAAAAAAGATTGAGCACCTTTACATTTCTTGTACATAGATAAGGCCAAAACCCATTAGATAAGTGTAGAATGAAATAAAAATTAATTACATTTTTGTCTTGTAAAAACTTTTTATTGATCTTTATTGCAACATCTTAAAACAAAACTTAAAATTTTTCAACACACACATGAATATATTCAATTACAAATCAATAGATTCAGATAGTGCAACAATTCAATTACAAATCAATATAAACACTATTCATGCCTTTTCGCTTATAACCTTTTGTTAATTAATTTTGATTTAAAAAAAATTTATGATTATTAATAATGAGAAAAAAAATATTTTTATTACTTTAAGTATAAAATGTTGAGGGAATTCAAGAGAAATTAAAGGGGAAAAAATTATATTGGGCAGAGTGAAATGTTCATCTTGAATGAATATTCATTCAAGATCATTACCATTTAAGTACAGTTTGTAGAGTTGCCAAATTAAATGCAAGCAACATTTAAAATAAAATATAGATTTAACTTATTTTTTAAACTTTTGATGACCTTGATTGACCTCTAAATTTCTTTCTCTTTTTTTTTCTTTGAGGTGAAATATTACAGGAGGTCATAAGTATACTGAAGGAAACTTTTTAGAAGGTGAGACTCAAAATACAGTCAAACCCCTCCACAGTGAACCTTCAAGGAACCAAAATTTCGGTTCACCATAACCAGGAGTTCACTATATCCATACTACAAACAATTTTAACTAATTTTTTTTGTACTACTCCCTTTTATTACGATTATTTAAATAAATGAGCAATAGAAAAGAAATACAAAAAATATGTAGCAACAAAATTTTCTATTACTCTTTTATTTTCAATTACTCTTCGTCTTGCTGACAAAAGATTTAGGGATGACCTTAATTTAGGAATATAGAAGAAGAAGTAAACAAGAAAAAACATGTTTTTGGCTACATTCCACTCAATAGATGGTTTTAAAAATCGGTATATGCATTTTATGAAGAAATTTCAAAATTACCAAAAAATGAAGAAAAAAATCAGTCGAAAACAGAAAAAAGTTCACAATATCCAATTTCCTCTCTTTTGGTTCACTATGTCCAAGAAAAATAATATATGTGTATAGCAAGACACGGGAGCGAACTTTTCGTTCACTATAACGGGTTATGACTGTATTTAAAAATAAATTTTTTGGGGACACCCTAGTATACACATATAAAAAATGCACATTGAATGGCATGCAAGACTACTACATGCAAAATAAATTTAAAAAAAATTTTTAAACAATGAAAATCAGAATTGATATAAATATAATAAAAATACTTAAATTGAGATAAAACAGAGCTCAATCTAGGCAGGGTAAACAGGGCGCAGCACCCTGCTGCCCTTTTAGTCTAAAGAATCCACCCTGTTGCCCCTGAAGTAAATTAGTGCCCTGATATAATAGACTCCATACCCTTTTTGGGCTTTTTTTCCTCAACCCTTCTTTGTTTTTTCCCCAAACTCTACTATGGATTTCTTAAATTTTTGTTATTTTCAACTCTTTTTATTTAGTTTGTCATTGCTGTCAATACGTAGATTTATATTGGAAAGGAAAAATAGCCATCACACCCCCTTGTTGCACTTGTCTTTGAAAGTTTGGAGTTACTTCCACTATCATTAAATCATAATNAAAAATAAATATTTTGGGGACACCCTAGTATACACATATAAAAAATGCACATTGAATGGCATGCAAGACTACTACATGCAAAATAAATTTAAAAAAATTTTTTAAACAATGAAAATCAGAATTGACATAAATATAATAAAAATACTTAAATTGAGATAGAATTAGACACTCAAATTATATAAATCAGCAGTGTCTTTTCCTAATTAACAAAATTATAACAACCTAGGTAAAATCAAAAGTTAAGTACAAAGATAAAATAAAAATTTGACACTGGTTGGCCTAGATAAATATATTTCTTAATTGAAGCTTCAATTAAACTTTTTTCATTGTAAATATATTATTTACAAAGATAATTGATTAGCATTAAAACAATTTTTACAGTATATTAAGTTTGAACCCAAAACATTTATATTATTTATAAATGACATCCTAAAGTTAAAAAATAATACAATCAGTAAAATTAAAAAAAAAAAATTTTTAATTGT